ACAGCATGAGAAACAAGGACATCAAAGTTGCTCTTTCAAGACTTTTTGGTCAGAAGTTATTATCTTGTTAAGGAGAATGGGCTGTGCATCTACTTATTTTTGAATTTCAACAGGAAAGTAAGAAAGGAGACATAGAGTATAAGTAACTATCTTCCGCTTTCCAATGGAAAATGTATTTTATTCAGTTATGAGATTGGACTCATCTCAGTTAGGACTGAATATTGTTATGGTCCAAGGAGACAGCCGTGACCATGGTGAGTATGAGGACACGTCTGTGCAATTTTCTTGCCAACTGTCCTATGCCTGACCCATTTTTTTTTCTTTTACCTACGGCCCTCCACAGAGCAGAGTGATTGCCTGAACAAGCTATATCTTCCTGAGCTGCTTTTCTCTGCAGTGCAGCGTGTCCCTAAAAAATGATTACCATGAGTTAGCAAGCTCAGCTCTGTTACCATAAGGAGTTGGTTAGAACCCGAATGGCTTAATTATGACTGGGCAAATAAGTGAAATGAAATGTAGAGCTTACCATCTCTAATTCCTCTTTATAATATCTGATGTTAAAAATTGCCAAAGTCACCAAGACAAGTTAGAAAGTACAGTGGTACCTCTACTTATGAACTTAAACCATTCCGTGACTCTGATCGCAAGTCGAGTTGCTCGCAAGTTGAAGTAAATTTTCCCATAAGGTTCAATGTAATTACCGTTAATCCATTCCGGTGTCCGCGGACCACGCATCAGGGGCGGAAAAATGGCCACTGACCACGCGGCAGGGTGGAAAAAATGGCCGCAGACCACATGTCAGGGGAGGAAAAACAGCCGTGGATCACATGGAACAGGTGGAAAAATGGCCACGGACCACGTGGAACGGGCAGAAAAATGGCTGTGGCCCATGTGGCACGGGCGGAAAAATGGCCACGGACCACGTGGAACGGGCAGAAAAATGGCTGTGGCCCATGTGGCACGGGCGGAAAAATGGCCACGGACCACGTGGAACGGGCAGAAAAATGGCTGTGGCCCATGTGGCACGGGCGGAAAAATGGCCACGGACCACGTGGAACGGGCAGAAAAATGGCTGTGGCCCATGTGGCACGGGCGGAAAAATGGCCACGGACCACGTGGAACGGGCAGAAAAATGGCTGTGGCCCATGTGGCACGGGCGGAAAAATGGCCACGGACCACGTGGAATGGGCGGAAAATGGCTCGTAAGTTGAGGCGAATTTGTAAATAGAGGTAAAATTTTGGGGTTGGAGCTGATTGTATCTCAAAAATTTCATAAGTAGAGGTACCACTGTATGTCATTAATAACAGATATAAAAATATGCTAGCCTCAGTTCTCAATCATTGTGAAGAGAGGGGAGTACATAGTTTGTAGTTTTCTGTAATTGTGTAATCAATTCTGCAATTGTGTAACAAATTCCATAATTCACTAACCAAGCTGTAATTCCCATAGCAGCACAAAGAGTAGTACATCACTAATGTCAGTCCATATATATTTCTTGAGATTGTTCTTGATACATATAAGCTAATGTGGATAGATCTGGGTTCAGACGAAATAGCAAGTTCAGAAATACAGTACATACGAATAAGAAAGTAAACTGGAAATCCAAAAACAAAAAAACAAAAAACAAAAAATTGAAGAGGAGAGGAGAGGAGAGAATTAAAATTGGAAATTAAAAAGATAAAAAATAAAAACAGTTTTTCAATCTTATTTTTTATTTTTTTTAAAAAAAAATG